TTTCAACTAATTGCACTGAATGTCTTCTGTTTGGGTTGGATTTCCAGTTGCATGTCTTTGAAATCTTTGTGCACGTTGCTCTAGTTTCTGTGGTGTCCAAATGATGAGAAATGCTGCTATCGCAGGCAGTATCCGGAGGTTGAAAGCATCAAGGCATGTCCGAATGCAATGTTTGCATAACATCCTGTTGACTGATGCCTTCATAAGGTTGGTTGAAGGCAACATAGATATCCTTCGCTGCCTATGATATCTCGCAAACCTGGCATGCAATTCAAAGATTGACTGAACAAACATTAATAAAAATGACGTTCGGTGGAGCAGCTGAAAAAAATAAGGGTAACACTTTATTTCGATAGTCCACTTTAGACATTCTATTAACAGTAAGTAACTTTGCAACTACATGTCAGCTAGCAGTTAGTAGAGTATTAGTAGACTGTCTGCTTAATATCTTCTAACACTTTCTTTGTCAACTTATTCTACTAACCCTAAACCTACCCTAACAGTCTACTCTGAGAATTAGTTGACATGTAGTTACAAAGTTACTTATAGTTAATAGAATGTCTAAAGTGGACTTTTTATGTCTACTTTTCTACTAAAGTCCCGTTCACACCAAGAACGATAACTATAAAGATAACTGTAAAGATAAAGATATTAGCGTCTACACCAGCGAACGATATCGTCTGTTTATTCTAAGCGCATGCTCGTCTACCGCTTTAAATTCTCGAGCTCGTTATAGCAGGATGGATTATGATTGGCTGTCAATGTTTTTATCATCCGTCAGCTGGAAAAAATCATTCTGAAAGTGATTCCAATAATATTGTTTCTGTGCCTTTATCGTTATAGCTGTGGTGTGGACTGCTATTCTTAAAGGGGTCATATGATGTTGCTAAAAATAACTTTATTTTGTGCATTTGGTGTAATGAAATGTGTTTATGCGGTTTAAGGTTCAAAAAACACATTATTTTCCACATACTGTACATTATTGTTTCTCCTCTATGCCCCGCCTTTCTGAAACGCGTAGATTTTTACAAAGCTCATCGGTCTGAAAAGCGAGGTGTGCTCTGATTGGCCAGCTATCCAGTGTGTTATGATTGGCCGAATACCTCAAGCGTGAGACGGAAATGTTACGCCACTCACCATACTGTGATGCCGTCT